CCATTCACTTCTCTGCATCTTCCCCTCCACATTCCAGCCCTTGTCTTGTCCATTAATGTTACGAGTACTCTGAAGCAAGGACTGTCTCTGAATGGCTGTCTCCGCCAGTGTTTCTAATTGCCTCTGGAGCAGATAATATAAACTAGTCCTTCCTTGCTTGGATGAATCATCCAGTCGAGGTCCCTTCCATGCTTGCAAGAAGCATTGTTTGGGAGGGGAGGATCCCTGTCACTTTGAATGCCTTGCTGGCTCCGAAGGCAGCGGAGGGGTGGATGAACACGCGCGTGCGTGTCTGAAACCACAACAAAATAGATGCCCCAGGGTCTGCTTTTATTGCAGAGCAGTTATTAGCCATGTGCAAGAATTCTGTTGTCTACAGTGTGGTTGTGGCCACAAAGGGCTCTCCAAATAACGACAACAAAGTGCCACGTCTTCTGAGCAATGGACCATATACAGGGCCACCAGTAGCTGGAGGGGACAGAGACTTACAGCGACCTGAAAACTCAATGGGTGTTGTACTCCCCTGACACAGTGCTCAAACTGAACCCAGCGTCAATAATAAATGGGTCTGTATTTTGCTACAGGATCTCTGGAATTGCTGCTTTCAGCTAATCTGTAATAGAGTCAAATGTGCAAGGGATGGAGGGGCGGAATGGGACGAGGGGCAGCTCTCCATCTTCGAGGGGTTTCACTTTTGCACTTTTAGCAGGAAGGAAAGGCTTTGGGTCCTGCTGCCTTCTGTATGTACGTGTGGTAATAAAAATGTTTGCTGTTTGGGTAGTGCTGGGGTTTTAGCTTTCACTGTGAAGCTGCGGGTCTGATGTGTATGGCCCTCGGTTGGTCTGTGCTGGCTCCTGAGGCGAGTTTAGCTGTGACTGGGAGTCACGAATGGCCTAGGAATGGCACCTGAGAGATGATCCTCCTGGTTTTTATCTGCTGAAGGAACCGGGCTGAGCGTGGTACCTTGTATGCCAGGGTTGTGCCTCTTGGTTTCTCTGGGCTCCAGCTTCCACCTCCTCCGGGAGCCTGAGGGGAAAGAAGAGGAGGCTTCCAGCCCATCTTGTGCTTTCTTGTCTTCACAAACAGCAGTGAAATACCTCAGCTTGAGGTATTGCTCACCATTTTTATCCAGGCATGGAGCTCTGCAGTAAGCAAGCGGGAGCAGGATCAGGCCTTGCCGTCCCATCGCTTCCTTCCAGCCCCAGAAATACTCGCCGACCTCCTCTTCTTTCCCCTCCCATCAAGCGGTAGCAATGTGAAATTCGGGGAAAACAGCAGCAGCAGCTGCTCCTCTGAGCCGCGTCCCGATGAGGCTGGGAGCACATTCTTTCCTATGTTGTGGTTTGCTGACTCTCCTCTTTGTCTCATGTGTAACGGGAGCAGAGCTCGGGGAGCGCGCTGGCGGCAAATAGCTCCTGTGGGTTTTTTTCACGTCACTCGGGCCTAATTCTGGCCCCAATTGTGTGGGTATGAACCTGGGGGAAATTCTGCTGTTTCACCCCAGCGGAACCAGCAGCAGAAACAGGCCCTGAAATACTTTCTGTGGCACTCGGGCTGCCCACCCCAGCTGTTTATTGCTTTGCGTTTGCCTTTGCCATGAGAGTCCTATAGCCTCTGAGGGCTGAAACCCCACTGCTCCGCTGGGCTCTGACAGGCAAACAAACCGCTTGTGAGCGGTGGGTCTCTGTTTCTCTGTTCATGGAGGCCTTTGGCCTGTGGGGCTTGGTATTTCACAGAGAAAGCCGGGCTCGCTGGGCCGCCTCAGCAGGGAGAGGGCAGGGAGGCAGCCCAGGGCTCGGCTGGGCAGCGGCCATTTTGTTTGATGTGAGGAGCTGAACCAGGCAGCTGGTGACCATCTCCAAGGCGTGCACCACCAAGATGGGTCTGGCTGTAACATAGTCTTTCTCAGCAGACAGCCACAGTGCTGGCTTGGTGCATCCACTGGGACAAACCTCCTCCCTGGCAGCATTGCTCCTTCATGGCGTGCCCCAGTTACTGGTGAGGGTGGATGAGTGTGGGCCTCACACCCGGTGCTTCTTCTGCATGGCACCAATCTCTTCCATGCCTCATTACTCTTTCCTCATTGTTCAGAAGTCCTCACAGTTCCTCTGAGATCTTACAGGAGTGTGTCGTTTGGTGGCCAAACAGGCCACAATTTGCTTGTGGTTATTTACTGATGGCACTTTGAGACAACATGGCATGGCTTTGTTCAAGGCTCCTCTTAGCAGAGGTACACTGAGTAACAGGACTTTGTTTAATTACTGTAAGGTTCTAAGGGAAACAACAAAAAAACCAAAACCACTGTAAAAATCTTTCTGTGTGGATGTCCAAGAATAACCTGTGATGTAGAGCATCACTGAAAGACCCTGTGCTTTCTCCAGGCTTGGTAACTGTGGAGTTAAAAATAAGTATGGCCTTCAAGCATTGGCCATGGTCAGAAAGGAGGTTACAGTGTGCTTGGAGCATTCCACTTGCCATGGGAAACCAAGGCAAAAACTTCCAATTCTGATCCAGCCATGAAATACAGCAATTTAGTTTATGCCACCAGCAAACTGATTCTGCAGTTCAAAAGATAAGATCCCAAAAGCACTGAAAGGCACGAATATTTTCAATAGTCCTGGGCAGCTGTTGTTTATCAGTGTTGGGAGTAATATTTGACAACGTTTGGCAACTTAGTGTATAGTTTAGCAAACGTTTCATTGTTGTAAATTTTTGTTGCAAAAAATGTTGCAAATTTGCCATGAAAACTGCTGTTGCTGGTGACGTGGGGTCAGGCCTCTGGGGCAACAGATGAAACTACATCAGGACGAACCCCAGTAGCCTCCAGAATATATATATATATATATGAAACAGCAAATAACAAGACTTTGCAAACAGGAATATTTAGAGGTGAGTTTGGGGGGAAGGGTGGGAAATCAGGTTCTTTTCTAAGTCAGGACACCCCCACTGGTGTTCTTGAAGGGTTTGGCACGACTGGTGTTGGTGGCACTTGGGCATCGTTTGCAGAGGGAGGTGACACTGACCATTTCACTGGTACTCCTTATTTGAGATTTTGAAACAGTAAAATTTTCTTGCTAGTATTTCTGTCTGGCTTTTGACACTTCCTAGCTGAGAAGTGACGTGTGGGTCCCCTTCTGAGGGAAGAAGGAGACCCACTTCCATGCTGAAGAACCTCTGCTTAATGGGGTTGTAGCTCAGTGATGTTGATCCGGGTACTTGGAGAGCATGGTATATGTCCCGTGGGGACTCACCCATGACAGAGACATCCTTGGCTTGCCAGAGGTGGGCATCTATAGGTTTATTACAGCCAGTTCTAGTTACTTTTAGTCTCACCAGTTGTTCCAAAAAGGGGTGTTTCATTAAAGTCAAGAGTACATGGAAATGCGTAGTCTTAAGGTTATCTGTGCATTTTCACTTTAAAAGTCTTTCTGGTTTTTCGCCATTAGTAGCTTATGACTTTCTCAGATTTTTGATATCTTGGCTGTTTTGCCGAGCTATTCTTTGCCTGAGTGGTAAATTAAAAAAAAAAGGCAGTGGAAGGAGGGGAAATAACTCCGACAGGCCTAAAAAGGTGTTGGAAATGATCGTTTGTTGCTGTTACAAAGAAAATTTGTTGCTGCTTTCTTTTTTGGATTGCATCAGTGGCTCTGCAGCTGGCAGTAGAAATATGATACCTCTTCCAAAATAGGTCATTCTTTTCCAAGTACGAAACTGTGGCTATTCTATGTAGGGAAGTGACTCCACTGGAAACTGCAGGAATTGGATTTAAGTGGGATGGCAAGCTCAGAATGAAACTGAAAGTGCCAACTCCAGAGGGGAAAGAATTAAAAAATAAAAAAAGATTGGGAGCAGTAAATGCATAGATTCAAGGAAAATCTCTTTGAGTTCATCATGTTTAGAGATGGGACTTTCAGAAAAATCCTGCTGTTCCGTACCTGACAGGAGTGACTGGCATAGGGTCACTTGGGAAGCCTGTACTAGATCAGAGAATTGTAATATGGGATCATTTTCTCACTTTTTTTTTGATACATTTGCACAGAAAAATGTCGAATGGCAGTTAGAGGAAACCTACTGCTTTACAGTAGTTAAACTTCAGGAATTTTTTTAGTTCTGCACCTAATCCCCTGTGATCCTCTGTATGTGCTGTTGTTTTATTTATCGTTCTGCCCAAAATACCTGATAAGGCTCGTTTGCTTTCCTTGCCAAGCAAACTCACATTCCTTCATAAACACCACAGTCTTAGGGAGGGCTTTAAAGCCATTGACTTCTCATGCTTTGTAGACTTTTTAATGGCTTGAAAGTGTATGGGTAGATCTGCATGGTAGATCTGGAGATGTTCAGACCCCACCTGGACACGTTCCTGTGCAACCTGCTCTGGGTGGCCCTGCTGTGGCAGGGGGTTGGACTGGATGATCTCCAGAGGTCCCTTCCAGCCCCATAGCATTCTGGGATTCTGTGACTGACTGTCCAGAATATTTGCTGAGCGAATTATCTATGAGTACTGCCTTTCCTTTCTGAATTACTTCGAAAGCTTTCTCTGTTGAAACAAACAGTAATTGATGCAAACGTTCTCCCCCGCATTCTGGGAGAATAGAGGGTCAGTCAAGACTTTCTGTGAGGCTGCAAGGGCAGAGCTGTGCTCTGAGAAAGTAAATAATTTGCTGGCAGATGATTTTGTGAAGTTGCATAAAATTAATTAAACTGGAAGAAAATATAAATACTTTATGTTATAAGCGGAACAAAAGCAGCTGGAAGAGTTACAAAGCTTGTTTCAAAGTAAACCATTTGACTCAGTGGGTTTTGCTGTGATGGTTCCTGTTACGGCTTCCAACACAACTGCTGTAGGAGCCTCAACAGGGTTTGCTGCCTCATCTCCATAGATCTCTGTGTAATTTGTGTCCCTGACCACCTTTGGAATAGCCCAGGCTTAAAAATCAGAGTGGAACAAGGAATTTTGCCATGAAATGAGATTGGAGTAATCGATTATGTTTTGTGTGCAGGTCTGGAAGTGTCAGAAATCATTGGACTGAGATTTACTCCTTTGTGGAAAGCCTAGCTGAGAAGTTCATTAGGTAATGTTTTTTTGAGATTATATTTTAATTTTATATATATCCATGTATCATTTATTTTTTCATTCACTGCTTCTAAGCAAATGAAAATCCGTTGAAGTAGTGGGTGTGTGTGTGACACAGAACTGTCTTGTTCTTCTGTTTCAGCCCAATGTTGCGGATGTCTTTCATCGTTTTCTCTTCACGAGGCACTACAATAATGAAGCTAACAGAAAACAGGCAAGTGCTTTCATCCAGAAATACCCTCCATCCCTCCTTTCAAGCAGCGAGTGGCCCCAAAACCAGAATTTGGAGGTCTGTCTTGGTCCTCAGGTCCTCCCTGAGTACATCCTCACTATCCCCAACTACCCAAATCAGGGCAGTTTTTCTGTATGAGATCTCCGACCCTGAGCTGATGAGCAAAAGACTGTGAGAAATTCCCAAAGTGACCCAAAGCCCCGAACTTTACACCTGCAGCTGGTTGTACCTGGTGCTGGAGCACTATCTCGCCAGGCTCTTGCACCCCTCTCCTGGACTACCTCCAGACAGCACCCGTGCCAGAGGTGGTTTGCAAAGCCAAGCCACAAGTTTCTTAAGAAAAAGAGAACCTGAGGCTGGAGCAAAATTCTTGTTGCCACCTTCACAACCAAATCCTCTTTTTTTTTTTTTAAAAAAAAACAACAAAACAAAACAAAAAAAAACAAAAAAAAAAAAAAACCCCAGAACCACCAGACCAGCAACAAAACAAAATTTAAAAAACCAAACCACCTCAAAAAAACAAAGCAAAAACCCACAATACATTTGGATTTAACTTGACTCACACAGAAATCCCTGTCATGGAGAGGTGTTTTGAAGTATTTTTTTTTTCATTTCAGCTTAGGGCCCTTGCTTTTGCTACTGCTTCTGTCTGTGTAAGAGGGCCTCAGGAGTATGGTGCACCCTATAAATAAAGGGGGCTCTGGAGCAGTCTTCAAAGGACAACACTGTTCTCTCCATTTCCTACTCCAGGGCATCATCCAAAACCTAAAAATCCTGCCCGGGGTCTTATGTTTCTGCTGGCTCCACCAGGTTTGGGCTCCGGTCTTGTATCTTGGTGACAGAGCTCAAACTTGCTTATTTCTCCCAAGTGGATTTGCTCTTTGCAAGGTGGAAAGTAGACAGGAACCCTGGGACAATATGTTGAACATGGTATTTGAATGTTCTCTTTCCTAAACGGCTCTCTGTATGATTCACCATTTTTCTTTTCAGTTCATTTTATACTTTGAACGGGTAAAAATGTGCTTTTTGCCCTAACAACATGCCCAATCCCAGCTCCTGGTTTTACCTTCATCCCACATAGACTCCTGTTTCCTAAAATGCCCAGCTGTAAAATTAAGCTTAGAGGGGTGCTCACTCTCTTCTTTTTTATAAAGAGAGGATGTCCCACAGCACCTGGGGCTGATGTTTGGACTGCCTACTTCTTGCCTGTTGAATATTTGTGCCTTATTTGTGTTGCATTAACATAATGAAAACTTTGCTAAGGATCAGGGTCTTCTAGTGATCGGTGATCAATTAAATTATTAATTGCCCTGAGCAATCCTCTTGCTTAACAGGTGTTTGTAGAGTAAGAAGCTACGCAACAGGAGAGAGTAAGGTTTGTAGAGTAAGAAGCTACGCAACAGGAGTCCCAGTATCAAAGTTACCTTCCTCTTACCAGGGAGCAATCTGTGCCCCAGGAAGGTTGATCAGTCCCTGGTGCAGGATAGGAAAATTCTTGTCTCTTATCTTTTGGCCTCTATCTTTATAATGGAAAAAGTCCTAATCCCAACTGTCTTCATGATTGATTAAATACAGAGTTTTTATTTGTCCCATTTTTTGTGACAGGGTCATAAGCTTTTCAATTCTCATTCCATCTGCACTTTGTCAGAGCTTAATATCTGGCATTTGCTTTAATTCAGTCTTACCCTGTCTGACTGTATACCAGAGCGAGGGATCAGGGACAGAATCACACCCTTAAAACGTGTTAACCCCAACGTTGTATCATTTGTCCAGTTTTGTGCTCCCACAGGTGTTTGGCAGAAAAATTGTGGGTTTTGAGAAATCTTGTTTTTACCCGTGTTTTAGCTGATGTGTGTGCTCTCTCTGCAATATACTGACAGGGTGCATAATCTACCTGTGGTACAGGAATATCTCAACAAGAGAAAAAAGAACTTCTAATAACATTGTCTCCATTATTTTTTATTTTTTTTTAATCCAAAGGGAAGCCATAAGACGAGGGCTCGACATTCTTCAGTATGAAGTGCCTGGAGGAGACACATTCATGCATGAGGGATTTAAAAGGGTAGACATCACAGTACCTCCCTTTCTTTGATTTATACCCGTAAAACTTGCTTTGCATGCTTCCGATGTGCTTAAGAGCTAACAATGTTCTACACTTCGTTGCAGGCAAACGAGCAGATTTACCAGGAATCCCATGGAGGTACGTGTTGTATATCCCTCATGTTATATATATGTCTGCATTAAAAAGACAGGGATGATAGTTCTTTATATGACCTGCAGTAAACCCGCCAAAAGAAGTGTTGGAGGAGGAAGTGGTGTTACACAATCTCTACATTCCATTTTGACTACAGCCCTACTTTTAAATGCGTGATTCATGGTTTATTAAGACCAGAGAAGACCAGTATGATCACAGATCTGACCCAATGCAGAATAAAGACCAGAGCATTAGAGCCAGAAATGCCTGTCCTGCACCCAGGGGACAGGGAAACCCAGACTTTCTTGGGCCCGTGGGCCCTTCTGAGACCCTCAGCCCTGTCTGTCTTGTGCACCCAAATTCTTGTTCTCATTAGCATGAATGCAATCAGCTGAGATTTTTAATCAGTATGAATGACTTGGGATCAGATTCTGAGTTCCTAAAGTGTAAAATTTCACTCAAATTTGAGAGGGAAATGTATTTGTGGTTTTTGTCCGTGCCAAAAGAAGGCCCAAGTAGTTAAACTGAACACTTCTTGCCTGGTCTGTACCCAGCTGGGAGGTTGTTCTCCTTTGTGGGCTGGTGGTCTCTTTGGAAGCTGGAGAAATGGGTCAGTGCCTTTTCAGTGAAACAGGCTGTGAGTGTAAGTGTCTTCAGTGGTGACTCTGCCTGGCTTCTCAGGCAGTGAAATCAAGAGTCCTGAGGAGTCCAGCAGCTGAAAACTATGTTTCTCCTTTATAACATCTAACTAAGAACTAGCAAACTGTTCTGTAAGTTGATTAGGAGTAGATGAAATCTGGATTTATAAGTTAAAATATCAGGGAAAAAACAAGTGTTCAAAAGAATGCAAAATAAGATCTCCAATTTTTCAGCTTTTTTCTAGCATGCTGGGCAATTAAAAAAAAAAAAAAAAGAAAAAGAGGATTACAGGAATCTAAGCTATTCCCCCCCCTCATTTGCAGGTCATTTGTTTAAGAGTTATGTCCGTGTCTGACATGACATGGGAAGGACTGTATGGCATAAGAAGCCTGTCAGAACTAATCAGTCTTTAATTTCAGACAGTATGGGGAAAGACACTTGGAATTGTAAGAGATTATTTTGAAAAAATAACAAGTACTTGCCTGAAAGTAACATGTATGTGTATTAGTTGCTTTGCTTAAGCACTATTGAAACAGAATGGTTGATTGATCCATAGTTTGCTTATTAATTTGGTTTTATGTTGTTAACACATTGCCTTTTTCGAGGTTGTATTGTATTGTATATCACCGTACATAGGTAGCTATCCAAAATCTGTGCAACCTTCTCACTTAAGCTTAGGTGAGATATGAAATGTCTTATCACAAGATGTGGATTTTCTTCCATGGGCTTGATCTTATGGTTTTAATGCTCAGAATTCCTGTGAACCTCACTGGTAGCTCATCTTGCTCAAGAAGAGTAGGACTGAAGTGTCTGGATGTGATCTCAGTGGGTCCTGTGTTATACTCAGAAGAGAGGAGTATGTGTGTGGACCTTGCTAGAGCAGAAGCTCCTCCTTCAGTGATGCTTGTGACGTGAAGGTGCACAGGTTTTGGCTTATTGCATGCTATTATGCATCTGACCTTCAGTGTGTCTCCAATAAAGTCCGTACAAATGAGGCTGAGGGTCTGGCCTTATGGTTTAGCATTTATTTGTCGGCAAAAAGGAATGCCTCACTTCAGACATCTTTTTTTTTTTTGCATTGCTGACTCCTGTGCCACACGTGTGCAATCTGTTAACTCTCCTCCGTGCAGGAGTTCGGACCGCCAGTGTGATCATTGCTCTGACGGATGGAGAACTGCAAGACGTTCAGTTTTATTATGCAGAACAAGAAGTAAGTCACCTTCACGTTTATCCAAACCAGCCTATGTCAGACGTGTAGGCAGTTATTGCTGGCTCCACTGATTACATGGCTTTGCACTTAATGGCAATTTTTTTTTGGTAGGCCAACAGAGCCAGAAGCTTTGGAGCTATTGTTTATTGTGTTGGAGTGAAAGATTTCAATGAAACTCAGGTAACTTTTCTTGTTTTCTTCTTCTTTTGTTTTTCTGTTCTACTAGTGCACAAGTAACAGCATCAGACGAAGGCATTTATTTAATAACTTGAGGCATAAATCATTTTGTGTCAGTATGATGTCTTTTAGCAAGTATGAAAGGCCCAGTTTTGTTCACTGTAATTTTGTTTTCCTCATGATTTATGATTGTCTTTCTTTGCAGCTGTCAACAATTGCTGACAGCATCGATCATGTTTTTCCAGTTACGGGAGGCTTTTATGCCCTGAGAGGAACCATTGATTCAGTAAGTCGGGTATTCTGAAACCCAGAAAAGGGCACCCTTTCCTGTATTAATAAAGCGTAGATAAAAACGATTGCCAAAAATGCCATTATCTACATCTTTCAGATTCTCAAGAAGTCTTGCATTGAGATCCTGGCGGCTGAACCATCGAGTGTTTGTGCAGGAGGTGAGTTTCCAGGAGGACAATGTGAGAAGGCAAAGGAGTGACACTGATGAAATGTCAGTAGCTCCCTAATGTGGGATGGGAGCTGCAGCCCGTGGATGTGTTAGAGCATCCCCTCGGGCTGTGGCTAAAGCCCTGCCTGCTCCTTCTCACTTGGGGAAAAAAAATTGTGCCAATAAACACGGAGTTGCTGGGGCTGAATGACAGCTTGGGGAGTTGACTGAGGTAGCACCCAGGGAACGGGGGATACTGCTTTTTAAAATATCTGAGAGGAGGAGGAGACAAAAGTGATGCAAAGCCAGGCTGCCAGAGGTGCTTTAGGGTCTGGAGGTGATGTCCTGCAAATTTCTGGAAAGACTGCATTCCTGGGATCTGCTAGGACTCCTGAGCGGCTCCAACAAGACTTTTGCAAAACATTCACAGAAATTTCAGGTTTATTGAACCAGATATAATTAACTGCATAGGCCAAGGTACCTGATGTCATGTCCTGCAAATTTCTGCATTCCTGGGATCTGCTAGGACTTGTGAGCAGATCCAACAAGATTTTTGCAAAACATTCACAGAAATTTCAGGCTTATTGAACCAGATATAATTAACTGCATAGGCCAAGGTACCTGATGTGTTTTCCAAAGTACTAATGTTTTACTTATTGGCAGTGAAGGAGCCATTAGTGTATATGGTAAACGCGAAGAATCCCCAGGGGAGCTGTTGATAATTTCATGCCTTTCATGTCTACTGTATTTAACTTGGATTTGTTCTGGTTTACATTAGCAATTCACTTGCTGTGGTTTTGTCTACTCAAGAGGCTATTGCAGCAGAGTAAGAGTGACACCCTAAGTTTGCTGGAAGGTACAGTTTACAGCATGGTTGTTTAGGTCTGATGTTTACTGTCTTGTGTTCATTTCCTTATACACTGTAAAAATGAGCACATAAAAATAAAATAGCAATGATGCATGAAAGCTGACCTTGAAAACAGATAAAAATAGGAAACTCAAGGAAAATCTAATAAATATCACAGAGAAGAGAAATTGTGCACTCTTCATTTCCACGTGTTGATCACAATATGATCCTGCCCTGAGTATTTCAATTTAAAATGAAATATCCTAGCATGTTTGAACTATTCCTAAATATATAATTGTGGACTAGATGTTTGTGATAAAATCTTGCTTTTAAAAATCTCTTTGTGGAGTTGATTAAAAAACAATTTTAAAGCTTTGACATTTCAAAGCTTTTTTTTTATTTCACAGTAATAAATTATTTCCTTTTTTTTTTTGCTTGCTTATTTTATATCAGGCAATATTTTGTACACCAGCTTATTGCAAGCTTTTCTGCTCACCAAAAAATACATTCAGCTACATGAGATTGTGGGTGTTCCAATAGGAGGGATTTCAGTAGTATTCTTGTCGTTTGGAACAGTGTTAAGAATACTGGAGAGTTGAATTTGAAACCATTTTTCAAATCAGACCAATATAAATCAGGCAGGACCAGTTTCTGTGTATTGCTGTGTACTGCTGATTCAGCAAAATACTGGCACTTATTTCACTTGAATTCTGAAGTTCTTTCTGTCCCCGTTGACAAAGCCATGGCAGCGCTCGCTGGCACGCGGTGAAGTGTGGGGCTGAATCACCAGGGCATGAAGGCTTGGATCATGAATGCTTGAAGCTTTATTTAATAGCAGCAGGGACCTTGACAATAGGAGGAAGGCAAAACTGCAGCTCCAAATGGTGCATTCTGTTCTGGCTGGTTAAATCAATCATCTTTAGCACCAAGAATCAGGCCTGAAATAGCTTTTCTTTTTTTTTTTTTGAGTCTAGTCCTGCAAGCCTTATCTCAAGTGAGCTCCTGCAAGAGATTTTACAGCGTGAGGCTGCAAATATTTACACTTGTGCTTGGCTTTATTATCTATCCCTTGTTATCCCACTTACTTCAACACAGCTGGAGGTTCATCTTTATAGCTTTGTGCAGCTCCTAGGGGGAGTCTCCTGGGATTGAACAGCTCTCTTCGTGGTAGTGTGAATCCAGATCCTGAATCCAGTTCGCTGGACAGTCTGATATAGTTCTACTCTATGTGTAATGTCTTTTTTTTTAACGTACTTGATTTGACTTTAATGTGAAGTAATCTCAGAATTTTAATGTATTTTAAAATTAGGTAATTACTACTGTAGTTTACTGATAAAGTATAGGTAAGATATATAGTCATTGAATCCTATATAAAAAAAATATATATACCTGCATTTAGAGCTGGCTGAATATTAGAGCATAAGGCGTTCTAGAAATGCACCATTCCTTACCTTCTTTTCTAAGATAGGAATTTCATTTAAAAAAGAACAACATGTAATTGAAATTTGCATTTCCAAATGTCGATGGGAAAAATGGTAGGCCTTTTGCAAGAGTGCAGTGTTTTATCACGTCTGGTATGAGATGGCGAGGGCTTTGTGTTGCTCAGTGGAAGCCAGTTGTGATCAGGGCTCAGAGCAGACTGACCCACTCCTGGTGACTGCTCTTGCACCTCATAATTACTGGTGATTACTGGTGATCTCTGCTTCATTACTGGTGATCTCTGCTTCATTACTGGTAATCTTGGCCTCATTTTTGACCTGCCAGAGGTTTAGTAAAACGCTGATGAAACGATTTCCACGTGGTGACAATTCCAGTTGGGGCTCTCTGTGACGAAGCTTTCTGGCATGTCCAGTTACAAATTGATCTGGTCGTGGTGTGACAGCCATCTGATGCTTAATGCTTTTTGACCCTGCCAATTCATCCTCCCCGATGTGGAGCAATATAGTTGGGTCCTTCCTCCTTCCCTCTGATTTAAAGCGACCCAGACGTGCAGCCTGTAAACAGGCTATCAGTGCGGGATCGGAGGTGCCTGGGATCCCGTTTGACAGCATCGTTGCTTTGATTACGCTCACGGTACGCGGATGTGATTGAAAGGTTTTGTTGGCTGTGGCATCCTACTGGCCACATCAACTCCCAGGTGTGGATGCAAGCCGTCAGCTTCTCATCAGAGGCACGGAAGCGAAGCCGACAGCGCAGCCAGCGCACACCAGCTCCAACCTACCATCTCGCTGCCAGCGCCGCCCGGTTATTTCAGCGCTGACCTTTTTCCCTTCGCTGTCTTGTCAAAAGCTACAAGCTACCATCTGACAGTAACTCAGGAAGAAAAGGACGCAGCCAGAGCCAGGGCGCAAAATTAAATGGAATTAGCCATTTCAACAGACCATCATCCCAAACATGTTAATGCTCCGGAGCATCCGAAGGGGCAGGCTTCTCAACAGCAACAACCAACCCCCGTACCAGCTGTTTACATTTCCGTGCAAGTCTGGTATTGAAACTACAGTGTCAGCTTGTGTTGGTGGACAGGTTGCTACCCAGGCAGTCGTTCACGACTGACTGTGCAGGGTGGCAGTGATGGTGAAGAGAAGGGCAGGAGAGGTAAACTGTCTTGACAAGACTAAACTTCTACATGTAGCTTTTACCTTCGATGTTTTGTGTTTAAGGTCTCTTACTTGCTGCATCTTCTTAAAGCCACTGAAATAGCTATCAATTCTGCCTTTTAAGACCAGGGTAGATGGTTGGACTCGATGATCCCAAGGGTCTCTTCCAACCTCAATGATTCTATGATTCTATGACCATTAATTCAGGATGGGGGGAAAGTAATGCAATTGCAATTTTATTTCAACAAGCTACTTTTATAATAAAAAATTAAGAGGGAAAAAAAAAAGAAATGATCATCTTAGCTGGCTGTTCCAGTTGCTGTGGAGTGGGCAAGTCTGGGGTATTGCATGGTCCTGGGCAGGTAGTTCAAGAGGGTGGGCAGAGGGCCAGTTGCCCTCGGGGCTGGCCATGAGTCTCTGCTCTGCTGGCAAAGGAAAGGGATCCTCATCAAGAATAACTCCCAGTGTATCAGCTGGGTTAGATGTGGAATGGCTCAAGGCATGACTCAGACTTAGAGTAACTCCAAATTGTTACTGGAGAAAGAAGCAGCTGAATGGATTTCAGTCCATTTTTGTTTGTTTAAAGAAGTGCCCTTCACCTCCAATGGGAACCAGAAGGTATAATCCTTCCCTTTAAAAAGGAGGACAAATTCTGTTGATGATTTTATGTGTTTGGCTCTTGACGTGCTCAGTGAGGTCTCAAATTTGATCATCTTTCTTCCACAAAAGTGCCAAAGCATGTGTTTCACTTTAATATGCACTCCAGTAGATATTTTCTTTTTCCCCCTCCCAAAATATCTTCTCTGATTCCCGTGTTTCTTGCTGCCCGTGTCAGTTCAGAGCATTGCTCCAAGGGAAAGTTCACAGGAGGAAAACCAGAGCGTGGGTTTTGAGTGTTTGATCATAACTTCTGCATGCCCTTGTCCTATTCACCGGGAGTTGGGTTAGACCTCAATGTAGTGAGAATGTGTTTTTGGCAAGAATATACTGTTTGTACGGAAAAGTTAAAGTGCTCCACATCCTCATGCTAGCTTGCCTTGCAGTAACTTGATAGTGAAGAGCTGGCAAACTCAGCTGAATATGTATTTCGGCCACCTTTTGGGGCTCGTGTAGCATTATCCAATAACAACTCCTTCCTCCAAAGCACACAAATAACATGGCAATACATCACATGAAATGTTATCAGAAGCCAGATCTCATATCACTAAAAATAAAGTATGGCTCCCCTCAACCTATCGACATAGGACAATATCGCCTCACTAGGGGACTGTCTCATTGTGGAGAAAGGAGGCAGGACTGGTGCTTATGGCTAGGGAAGGTGTCTGGCCCAAAAGCCATGGAGGAACCATAAGATGACATCACCCTTGTCAGGATCACAGTATTGAGGGTCAACTGGGTGTGTGTTGGAAGACCCTAGAGATGAGTGTTGCTCTGTGAACACTCTGGCACTCTTGGCCATTGCTGCTGAATATTGAGCATCAGTGTGACTGTTTTGGTGCGCCTAGAGATGAGTGTTGCTCTGTGAAGCACCAATGCCACTATGGCACTCTTGGCCATTGCTGCTGAATATTGAGCATCAGTGTGACTGTTTTGGTGCAGACGACAGCCATTGTCATGTTGTACTTCAGATCATTCTGGAAAGAAATGCTGTATTTGAGCTGTTTTTCACAACTTTCCTGTTTTCATTTACAGAATCCTTTCAAGTTGTGGTAAGAGGCAACGGCTTTTATCATGCAAGAAATATCGACCAGGTGCTCTGCAGCTTCAAGCTCAATGACAGCCTTACTATCAGTAAGTGTCCAGGCTAATGGATTCCGGTGTCCCCTGTGGCTGTGTCACCTCACAGGGGACAGGTGACAGGTCCCACCTCACGTCTGTGTTGGGGGAATCCTGGCAGTGGATGTGGGGGGAGCTGGGCAGGGATCTATACATAACAGAAGCTTGAAATTTATCCTTATTCAAAGCCTGTGACCTGTGGGCATTACGTGGGGCATGCTGCTGTTCCCCCCTGAATTTCAGTGTCATTGCAAGGATGCAGGTAGGTGATTAGGTTTTAAGAGGGAGAAATAAAATTGCTCCCAAATCCCATGTTCACCACCAGTAAAAAAAAAATAATGCTATCTCAGGCCCCTGGTGGGGTCTTCAGACTATTTGTTCCCCAATTCAGGAGACACTCACCATAAAGCAGAGCCCTCCCAGGCCTGCTCCATTCCTGACACCCGTTGTTGGTCTCATCACAGAGAGTGTGTAGGGTGGAAACTCCCTGTCATCACTGTGCTAAACGGGGTCTTTTGTTTGCTGTCTCAGCAGCGGGGCAAAGGACTGAATGGCCAAAAAAGATTGAGTGTCCCATTTCTCAGCAGTCTTCTCTTATTCCCGAGGAGCAGTGTATGTCTGGCAGGGTGAAGCACAGCGCTGGAGGGGGGGAAGCTTTGCTCCTTTTCAGTATGTGCTGCCCTTGTTGGCTGAGCACAGTAGAGGCTTTTATATCCTGTGGCAGTCAGACTGGTGCCTTCCCTGGCACTGAATTCACTTACAAGAGGGAGCACATGAATTGCTCCTTCATTTCCCATCCTAGTTGCCTACGTGGAGGCTGCATTAAATAAACTCTGGTGGTCTCGCTCTCGTTCTACTTACAGATGCCCTTTGCTAGGGGTTTGTTTCGTGTGGTTTACCAGGTAGACAGACTTTTGGGATTTTTTTTCTTCCTTCTCTCTTATGCACTGGCACCTTGACTGGACTTCACACAGTGAGTGCTGCTCTGGGCTGGATGTATGCCCTAATTCCACATCTCCTCCATGCTGTGTTCTCCTTGGGTTAGGTCTGCAACTCTGATCTATGCTGGCTGGCTTTTTTCCCCTCCATCTGTTTTAACATACCACTCCTCACATGTTTTAACATACCACTAGAATTTTCATGGCGTCATCTCTGCCAAAGCAGGGAAGTGAACTTTGTCTTCAAGTGTGCTTGGGTGGGTGAAGGCAGAAGGAATACCTCTCACACCTGTTGTTACTCAAGTTGTTTGGGTTTTTTTCCTAGGTAGAAAGAGTAATCAAGTCTCTAAGGTTTAAATAAGCTGGCTGCACCTATAAACACAGACTGTTTCTGGATGATGCTGCCACAAAGGAAAGGTTGGGGACAGGAAAAGCAGCACCTTGTGCAGGACAGGTCCTCACAACAATCAAAGTTGTGGTCCCCCTTTACCTGTCTCTCTTATATGACCAATATGACCAACCAAATTTTTTTTTTTTTTTTTCCCCTCCAATCTCTGTCCCCTTCAGTTCCACCCCATCTCTTTTATTACTTTTCACTGGCCTCAAACAGTGCAGCCTCAGCTTCTCCCGTGTGTGTTTTTCAAAGTGGGTAGGCAAAAACTGAACCCTGCACCTTTGATCCCCTGAGTAAGTTGCGGGTTCAGAGTAGAGTTTGCACTCACTTGTCAGATAGACAAGATGACTATTGCTCAAAGCTGGCTTCCAAATGGCTGCTCGCTGCTGTCAGGAACAGAGAAGGACTTCCATTTCTTAGCTGTGGTATCTCTAGCCTGATAACATATAGGCATCAACAAGAAGGGTCATCCTAGTACTTGGCTTTGTAATAAGTACCATTGGGAAATACTGGTACATGCTGAATTGATCTGTAACTCTCATTGGTGTCAACTCTTCTCCAGGGGGTGGCCTGCTTGGGGTAATTTCTCTTTTTTCCTCTGTAACAGTTATATTAATTTCTTTTCAGATGAAAAGCCAACCCTCGTCCACGATACTTACCTACTTTGTCCTGCCCCAGTGATAGAAGATGCTGGGCAGTAAGTATTGCTTTCCAGCACGTGTTAAGAGAGAGGGGACTTCTGGATGAGGATGTCTAAGCTAAGAGCTCAGAATTTTGCCCAAAGTGCCAAGCTAATAAATTTGTGTGTGTGTGTGGCAGGATTACCTCCTTCCACTTTGTGCCAAATCCTTTCCTAGCATAAGCCAGCACAGCCCTGTTCAATGTTGGGTCTTTAGCACAACTTAATCAAAGGCCTTATTGGACCAAAGTTGTTTGGTGGGGTTTTTGTGGGATTTTTTGTTTGTTTGTTTTTTCCTCAGACCCTTTCTCTGATATTGGAGTATGGATAGGGTCGGATTGTTCTCTAATTTCATTGTCATTTGGGTGTTTTTACCCCTTGACCTCACTACAAGTATTCTGGATTATGTTGGATATAAAAGAAAACATATTCTGGCTCTTCAAGCTGCCGAAGGGGTTAAAAAAAAAAAAAGCCTTACATTTTCTTGTGCTATCTAAGGTAGTATTGCAGATGTCTGAGACTATTTTATGACTCACTGTCCTAGTGCCCTTTGCCCCAGGTGGGATGGTGGTTTTTTTAATAAAGACCATATGCCCCAACTCAATTAAGCCAACATAAAAGGGTAGCTCCTGGGTAAGTGGAGAGACAAATGCAGGTAAGCACCTGGAGCCATGTAAATGCTTTGACTCAGCAGGGCATGTTATCCATGCGTGTTCATGAGCCAATGGCTCAAACACAGCCAGAATAAAAGGAACAATGGGTATAAAGATGACACTAAAAATAAGTGTATCTGTTTTGTGCTTTAGGGTGGTTTTCCTACAAGTCAGCATGAACAACGGGCTAACGTTCGTCTCCAGCTCTGTCAGCATCACCAGCACACAGTGTGTAAGTAATTGCAATGGGGCTTGACAGAGAAACCCTAAGATCTTAGAAAGAGACAGTGGCTCTTCAGGCAAAGCCCTCCCTGAGTGAGCCTGAGCTCTCTGCAGCTTCTGCATCACAGTTATTGGTGGAATCCCAGCAGCTGTTTGAAAAATAACCAGGGCTAGTTTAGATTTCATCATCCTCGATGATGCACAGATCATGATAAATTTACTGCATAAAAAATTATAACAAAAAGCACCCTGCCCATTCCCATCCCAGGAAAGAGAGATCCTCAAAGCTGTGAAAGGAAATCTGGGAAAATGAGGGAAGGATCATCATGAAGCAACACCCTGTGGAGCTTTGGGATCCCTTGTGGGATCTGGGGTGAAAGGTGCAACTGCCAGGACTTGAATCTGGAAAGGCCACAGCACAAAGGTCCTCTAAACTTACATGATTATGGTTTTGGTTGGAGCTTACAGCATTTGTTCTTGGACCCCCAGAATTTGCTTTTCTAGTTCAGGATTCCCTAAGGTGTTTTTACAGTTTTAGTGACAGGAGCCAGTTTGTTTTCTCTGGATGTCACGGGAGATGACCAGAAAGAGAGAGCAGCTTCAGATCCCGGGATGAGCTTCTTGATAAAATGTTGCTGCTCAGCCTAGTGAAGGGAGAATGTGCTGCTGCTGGACAGCAATGGTTGTGATAGGAGCATCTCCTGGTCAAAAAGGCCACCTATACTTAGGTGGAACATCAGGAACCAACAGCTAGAAGTGATCCTTTAGCAAAATTTGATTTTTAGAAGCAGCTGACTATTAGATAAGCAGTTGTAGTCTTTGCCTTGGACCCTTTAGCAAAATCTGATTTTAGAAGCAGCTGACTGTTAGATAAGCAGTTGTAGTCTTTGCCTTGGAGTAAAAATGGGCAACCCATAGCTGGTGAAAGCAAGTACAGTAGTTAAAGATTTGGCCTCATGCTTGTGGATGAATTAAAGTTTGCTGAAGTACCTGAGAGCAAACGCTTTGTATCAAAGTTGAGCTTTATTGTTATTTGTGTCAAAAGGACTTTTATAGCCTACGCCAAATGCTGTCATATTGGTTTGTAATCATTGTTGGCCTTTTTGACAGCTGCACAGCAGAAGGGGAGGAAGGAAGACAGAGGCAGTGACTGGAACTTGCAAATCTCATTTTCTGATATTTTCAGCAATGAAGCTGGGGAATCTCACACCAGATTGCCGGAGCAGTCTAGAGTGTGGAGACTCAGAATTTAACAGAGGTGTTTGCTGCTTCACCTGATTATTTTTATTTTTCCAAAAATTTTTCCAAATTTTCTACACTGAAGACTGATATGTTCACATTTTATTCCCTTCTTCTACCTCGGCTATGATAAAACCTTTTGAGTCTGCAATGAAACACAAGTGCTAACTGGTGCATTTAGTTACCCATATGTAATTCATTTCTGATGAGGACTGAAGTCTCAGCCCTAGCTGGGATTCCTGCAGGCCAGAGCACGGATGGAGGAAGCTTTCCTCTCAGTAGCCTTAGGATAAAGAGAGGAATCCAATCTGCAGTCCTGTCAATCTGACAGTTTTTGACCAGCCTCTTGCAGATTGGATGTGAAGGAGGCAGGGAGCCTGATTCTCAGCTGGTACAAGAAAAGACTCTCACTCCGGTTACACCCCGTAAGCGAGGAGGTTGGCAGTTCAGTTTCCAACTTTGTCTTAATTCCATGCGTTTCACTCTTCTCGTTTTAGAGACTCCCTCCATTTCCTTTCCTCTCCCGTTTCCTTTTCTGTGGGTGGCAGTCAGCTGGCCTGCTCAGCTCTCCTCCCCAGCTGGCCCTTCTGTCCTTTTGCTACAGTAAGTATCTTCTCTTTGCTTTACTCCTAAAGCCTCTGTGGGATCCCTGTGCTTATTTCTCTTCAGCTGCATGAAGTCTGCTATTTCCTTTTCGAAACCCAGCTTCACTATAAAGCTTTGTATATTTAATCATTAAAAGAGGACTCTTTAGCTTCTTGTTGCCAGCAGCTCCTTGAGCTGCCACTGGCAAATGTCTGAGCAATTTATATGAGCCCTTAGGATGGGAAAAGCAATGCCTGGGAACAAAAGCTAAAAAAACAAGGAGGTAATGTGTGTTTGGAGTAACAGTAGCAGTGGTATGTGCATCTGTGGCTCATGCACTGCGTTGCTACTGTGCTTGGATTTGTTTTTCAGGCGTGCAGCGATACCTCTTAAAGTTGTGCTTGACTTTTATTCATCCATTTCTCAGCAAACTGACTTCAACTGGGAATTCATGCCCCTCAAGTGTCCGCTTTCCAGATGCGTTAGCCCTACGTGGGGCCATGGAAGGGCCAGAGATGGGGGGGCTGCAGCCCTGAACTGCAGCTGCATAGTGTGTCTTCTAATAGGACTCCTTTGAGCAGGGGCTCTGGCACACATTGCAGCACTCCCCTTGGCTTTCTTCTGCTCCCTGACTAAATGAATGAGGTGAGCTAAATAGCATGTCCCAGAACAAGTCAGTTTGTTGCATCTATAACAAGAAGCCACAGACCAGTGGAGGGATGGTGGTGGCACGACATCCCTCATGGGAATATGGGATACTGGGCTACCTGCCTAAAAGCACGGAGTGGGAGCCATGGTTTTGTTAGTCCCATCTTGAACATGTCAGTCCTGACAGCTCTAAGATTTGCCCTGAGAAAGAACTAGGTACCACCCAAGTCAGCCATTTGGGACCTCACCCAGGCTTTGCAAAACTCTTACCACCTGGTACTTTATTTTCCACCCTCAGCCTTTTTATTTTCTGAGGGGAAAACAAACCCACCTGGAACAGTGAAGGGACCTCCTGTTGTAAAAGGGGCTAAGCATCAGTTTCAGGTGTCGTGGGCATTCAGCAAGTAGTTTCAGATTTAATAAGGTGAATCTCATGGACTTTATCCTCAATAAATCTTCTTTGGAACTTCTTTTTTTCAATTTATCCAATGACCTGTCCTTCTTTGAAAATCTCTTACAGCTTCCTCTCTAGCCAGCTTCTGTTCCCTCAGCCTGATTCACAGATATTCCTTCAAGCACTTTTTACATCTTCCTAGTCCCAGGCTGTCCTCCATTTTGCTGCCAGGTTTTGCCTGTTCCCTGGTACCACAAGTTGCTGGTGAATTGAACCTCTTCTCAAACTCAAAATCTACTTTTTTTTTTTTTTTAATTCTAGTCCTTTTGAAGAAAATTTAACTTCTATTTTGAATATAGACCTTTAGCTACCTGGCCCCACAGTCCCACCATTCTCTGCAGAGTAATAGATGGAATATAAGAATCAGGAATGGATAAGATCATGATTACAGCATGTCATTAAAAACAGTCCAACCAGCCTCAGGAAGATTACCAAGAACCAGCAGCACTGAGGGCTAGTTTGCATAAGCCACAGGCTGGGGTTGTGTGTGCAGTTTGAGTCGAGAGGCAGTTTGGGCAGACTAAGAATGTAAGAATGCCATAAACATACATAAATTATGCATATACACACCACAAACAGGAGGTGCACCCCTGAATCGTGACTTCGCTTATGGATTTGTCACACTCAATACTGAAGTGACCCTAATGAAAACAGTGATTGACTGCACGATCTACCTGAGACCTTGCAGTGAGGGAAACCTGGCTCACTCTGCCAGGTCTCATTGTGTAACTTCAGGGCTCCTGCCTTGTTGGTGACACGCAGAAAACTCAGAAGTAATCATCTTGTTTGCAGCTGACTGGGACCATCCTTTTCATCGCTCTCCTGATTCTCTTCCTGCTGCTGGCTCTGGCTCTCCTTTGGTGGTTCTGGCCCCTTTGCTGCACAGTGGTAAGTACAGGGCTTTATTATTTTGACTTGGTTTCATCTCTTCTCTGTGAAAGCAGAGTGTTGAAGTGGGTGGTTAACTTTGAGAAAAACGCTGCCGGGTTTGTAAGGCCCTAATTCAACACATTGTTTTAAGTCCTTGTTGAAATCACTCTGGTCTGTTGTTTTTGAATATTGCGAGGCCTATGTGATTTTGACACTGACTGAGAAGTTTGAGTGAGCTTGTGGACACGGCCCAAGTCTCTGTAGGGATCAAGACCTCCTTAGTATGAGATTTGAAACCTGCTGCAGAGAAGTGCTATGGAACTGACTTACTAATATTGGCATAGAGGCAAGAGTTAGGCTCTTTTTTTTTCTTTTTTCTTTGTTTTTTTTGGTTTGTTGTTTTTTTTTCATTGGACCTGCAGATTCTGAGTGAATATTACCAAGCACTAGCTTGGTAATTGCATGACATTAAGGCAGAACTGCCATGATACAGAGCTGTATTACGAATTACTTAACAAGGTACTTGACTAATTGGATAGCTGAATGTGATGGATTTAGCTTCTCATCCGCATTTATTTTCCTTCTGCTGAAAAGCAGTGGGACTAATGATGGGACTGAATATGGGTGAATAGATCAGGGCAACCTTTTTGTGATGGGAGCAGAGAAGCAGCGAGGGCATGGCATAGAGATGGATGAACCCTACCATGAACTCAGATTTCTCCCATTGTTTATATGTTCCAGGTGATCAAGGAGCCACCGCCTCCACCACCTCCGGAGCCTGTGAGTATGTTATTTTTGAGCTGTTGCACTGTCTGCAGCTGCTGTAGTGTGTTGTGCTGCCCAGGAATGTCAGCCCTGTAGGCGTCTTAATGGCACCTTGAAGGCTGTGAGAGGAAGTCTTTTGGGTCAGGACAGTTATTTCTGCCCTCTGGCCTTTTTTTTTTTAATATACGTACTGCAAGATTATTTCAGTCCGCAGAGAAAATAGTTGCATAACTCAGAAGTCCACAGACCTATGGGATTTTATTCCTTCTGCTGAGCATCAAACAGGTGTGTAAGCAAATCTTGGCTTCTCAAGCTGTGCTGAAAGCTCTCTGTCCTCCAGTAAAATTGCTGTTGCTCTCAGCAGGAGTTTAGCCCAGACTGGCAGTAAGGAACAAAGTCTGGCAGCTGGAAGAAAGGATAGAGAAGGCCCCATTCTTGTGTCTTTGCTACAGAAAAGGGAGGCAAGAGCCTGCCCTGGCTGTGGTTCTGCTGCAGTGTGACCTTTGGAAGGACATTTGGCCTTTCTCCATTTAGGCTGGGAGCTGTTTGAGGCAGGGATGTATTTTGCTCTTTTTGGGACAGTAACACACTGACCCTGACCTCAGCTTAGTTTCACTGTACTAATTTTGTGAAAATAAGAGGAATAAATAAAAGTACCTCCAGGGAAAACTCATGCCTGCCTTTATTTCTTTCCTAGGCATAGACAGTTAAATGATGGAAAAATACTTGCCTAACCCACAAGAGAAGCTTACAGTTTGCTGCTAACTCACTGTAACTTGGCATGAATATCAGGAGGCAACCACAGCTGCTGTTTTGAGGTTGCCAGAGGCCACCATTACTGTGGATGTGATCCTGTTGCTTGTCCTGGGCAGCAGCAGCACTGTGACAATTTAACGTTAGAACAGGCACCGAAAATCGTGCTGGTTTTAGGGTGATTAGTGTTATCATGAAGCACTGGGTTGCAGCCGTGCGGTGCTGGAAGGAGGTTTCAGAGAGCCTCACACCCCTGCAGCAGAGTTCCCAGATGCTTTGCGATTATTCTGACCAGCAGAGATTTTTCAATGCAATTAAAAGAGACTGTGAGCTGACGTAAGCCTCCAGGAATAACACAGAATACAGATGGTATCCATCCCTTTATTTGGCCTTGTCTTTATCCATACTGGATAGTTGTTTCGTTATACTTAGCCTCCCTAGCTATGGTGACCTGCCCTTTAGCTCACAATCTGTTCTTGCTGCTATCTAAAACTCGTTCTAGAGTGCAAGCATTATATGTCCATTACTTTAAAAAATGTTAGTGGTAGCCGTTGGTGTTGCTTAGCTGTGTGTTCAGCGTAAGGGATATTGGGTATAAATCTTTTTATCAGCTGGAAAAGTGTGAGCCATCATGATTAACTGTGTCTTGCTGCTGTCAGACGTGCCAGCAATTAAGGGTTGTTAGATGTGAAGTCTTGAAATCTGTGTTACGTTGCATGGAAGAGGCAGGAGGTTTTAAATAGTACTCCAAGTTCACAATGAAATCAGATATAAATGAATTTACACAGCTGATGTAGGTCACTGGGTACTGTTTTCGATGTGGCATGAAATTCAATAGAACTTGTTTGTGTATTTGTTATACTCTTAAAAAACAAACAAAACCAAATTCTAAACAACAAAACCCAACACCAAACCACAGTGGTTTGTATATTTATTTCCCTGACTTGGGTTAAAAAAACCCTCAAAAACAATATAAAAAAATAACAAAAAAACCTAACCAAAACAAAAACTCACCACTCCTTACTAGTTAATGAAAATGTCAACTCTAGTCTTGCCTGGCCACACTGAAGAATTTTTTGGAGGAACTAACCCATGAACCATGGCTGAGAGATCAGATGTCACTGAATGGAAATACCTTCCTCCAAGGTGTACTCTAAGAGTTAAATATGAAAAAAAATAAAATAATAATAATAAAGGCATGTTTTCTAAAAACTGTTGCTGGCTTTTGGAATCTCAATTCCATTTACATTCCAGTTGAAACACGTAGGGTGATTTTGAGAAGATGTCACCTAGTAATCTGACAATAATTTGTGTCTATCCCTAGTGTTTGGATTTCACTTGTTTTATTTAATTTATTATTTTTTTTGTGAAAGCTAAGTCCAGGCAGTGTATCTAGAAATGTACTTGTAGGGATGAAAATTAACAGAGAGCACTGTGTGTGGGCAGCCCAAGAGCAGCATGCACATCTGTATATCAGCATGAGGTGTGGTTATTTGTCTATATATTAGAATGCAAGGAATGGAAATGGTATTGTAGGAGGCTTGTTGGGCTCTTTCCTACATCACATATGTTCTTGGGGAGTGTCATGGTGTGATTTTCAGCTGCCTCGACCCAGTGTAATGATGGGGACTCTGAGAAATCCCAGTGACTTTTATTTGCTCAAGGTGACAGACCTGGAGGTGTGCCCCGGGGTTATCAAACCAGAAACATTTGCTGGCTTTTAGTTAAGTAAGAACAGAACGATGAACCTGAAGAAAAGCCCTGATTCAGACTCTAACCTTTATAATTGCAGGTCAAACACTCTGAATCTGAGGTTCCTGATGATTTGGAGATGCTCCAGTCTGAGTCCTGGTTCCAAACTGTGCAGCTTGAGCCAGACTCTACAAAGAATCAAGCAGCGTAGAATAACTGGTTACAGCTGCCATCAGAAAAGGGTCTGATGCACATGTTTAAAAAAACTCATAGTGGTAGCTCTTTTCCCTGTTAGGTGACATTAAGTTCTAAAAGCGTGATTAAGAAATGATTTCTTTGGGCTAACTGATTGCTGCAAGCCAGTATAATGTACAATTCATCTCCACTTTGCCTTCCTTTACAAGTCAGTTGTGATTTTGAAGCTCAATGCGTATTTGACTAAATAGAAGCTGCCTGGAGAGAGGAATAAGCAGCCCTCTTTGGCTTCCCTAGTTAAAATTGCAGCTGCAGAGACAAGAGACTTCTGTTTTTGTCAGCAAATAAGTCTAACATGCAAAGCCAGATATCCAAGGCTTGGACCATAGGATGTTCATTTGTTTTCCATAGTTTATGTGAGAACAGCAGTAATATCTCCCTGTCTTTCCCACAGGAATCAGATGATGAAGATGGATTGCCAAAGAAAAAGTGGCCAACTGTGGACGCATCTTATTACGGAGGTCGAGGTGTTGGTGGGATTAAGAGGATGGAGGTATTTGGATTGTTCTTTTGTGTTGTCAAAATCAGCACATTTAATTATAAATCATAGCGATATGGTTTTTATGTGATTTTTAAAATGCTACCTTTGCTGGACTAGAGACTGGGATTTAATTAGGGCTTGTCCACCTGATTGCACCTGCTGTCCAAGTAGCAGACATCAAGCTGCCATCGTTCGCATGAATAATTGAATGAATCTAGCATGATGAGCCAGAGAGAAAAAATTGCAGGTTAAGAGATGAGATAAGCACCAAAAGAAGTTTTAATTTACTGAAAAAAAATGGCAGGTTAAGAAATGGGATAAGCACCAAAAGAAGTTTTAATTTACTGAATCAAACCCTTCAGCGCAGTTGGGTCCAGTTCTCTTGTCTCAGGCAGAGTTACACTGGTTCTGAGTATTTGAGGGTGCCATCTACACTGCCCTTGCAAGTCTGCAGGTTGAGCATTGCATCTTAATATCCTTAACCCCTTTCCTTGGGAGAATGTTATCCTTGGGCCTGAATAACCCTATGGATCATATATTGCCCCTAAATGCAGGATCACATTTCCATTTGCAGTAAGAAATACAACCAAATCAGAATTTCAGCTAGAAATAAGTAGTGTATAGTATGTGAAGATAAAGTTACTGATCTCTCTTTTGTGACTGTGCCAGGTGCCTTTGGAAGAGCTGCCAATTTTGAGGGCTGGTGCTCTTAAAGCATCCACGTACTATGAAGTCCTACCACACCTTTCATTACTGCAGGGTGCAAAGGGTAGTGGTTCAAATAGTTGAGTGAGACTATTTGACTCTTAAATGTGTATTTCTGATCACAGTGGGAGCTTGGTGCCTTCATCAGTTTCTCTATGTCTGGTGGCATTGGGTCATCTGGAGGGAACTAGGTTAATGTCTCTGAAAACCACCTGCTGGTGGGGACCGCTGTGGTGTCTCTGCTTACAGAGTGTTTTCCTGACTTCAGGTGCGATGGGGAGACAAGGGGTCAACAGAGGAAGGAGCAAAATTGGAGAAGCCCAAAAATGCTATTATTAAGTTGCCAGAACAGGAGTATGAGCCATGGGAACCCAAGCCAAAGAAGCCCCACGTGCGAAAGCCACCTTCCCGGCGGAAATGGTACACGCCCATCAAGGTAAAGTGTCTGCCCTTCCATTTTACTAAATCTTTGATGTCACTCGTGTTACTACATCCCTCTTCCTTAGTGCACTTTTTCTTATGACAGATCTAGGAGAGCCTGTTTAGAAAAATGGCCAGTAACCATGAACTTTGCCGGTATCTTGGAACGTGCAAGATATCTGGTCTGGTGGGAGGTGTCCCTGTGCATGGCAGGGGGGTTGGAACTTGATGATCTCTAAGGTCCCTTCCCACCCAAACCATTCTATGATTATTTCACCTGGCACTGTGTCACCGTAGCTTTTTGAGGAAGAGTGGAGGATGTTGGAAGGCATGAGCAGAGATCTTCCCTCTCTCAGCTCACACCTTTTCAGGTACTTCTGCATGGCCTGGGTTACAACAGCAGGTACCTCAACTCTTATGGAAGGCGGAGGGGGGGGGGGTGTGCTGTTTTGTGCCATCTTGGGGCAGCGTATGAAAAGGATCAGATGAACTGCACTGTCCTTGCTTTGATTGTGCTGTGGCTGAGGCCTTGGGTTGGGATTCAGAGCTGTTCCCCTCTAGTTCAGCCACAAGACGTAGTGTTTGATTTTGGGCAAGTCGCTCAGTCTCTCCACACTTTCATCCCCATTTCTTCCGTGTCATTATAGTATCTGGTGTCTCCCTGGTATAGTTACAGTATCTGGTGTATTTCAATGTATGTATCCTCAGACAACCCTTGAGGCAGGGCAGAGCTGTTATCTCCCCTTTCAGGGAAGGAAGCTGGAGGGCTGGAAGCACAGGCCAAGGGAGCAGCATACCATGCTCATCCCAGAAACCTGTGGCTGTCTCCCAATCCAGTTCTCTGTGGGATGAGGTCCCCCTTCCCCACCAAGCTCACAGTGCTTAGATTTTCTGCCTGGAAAGTACCTGTGAATTTTAAAGCCTGCCTAGGTAGGTAGTTCTTGTGGCTGTTTATCCATCCTCCAGCTCGCCCCCCATCAGTACAGTACTTTTTGTTGTTCTGCCTTTTGTTAATGTAATATTTGTCTAATTGTACCTCTTAGGGGAATTGTTCACACTAAATTCAGTCATCCTCAGTGAGTTTTGAGCCAGCTGAATTTGGCCCATTGCATATTGGGTACGTGTTACCCCACTGAGGTCTCTTCTCTGGCTGTCTAGATAAACATTTTAGAGGGCAAGGGCAAAAGAGCAGTGTTTATGCAGACAGTTTAATTCTGAAAGGCTGGATCAACTCACCTGTAGCTTAGTCTTGTGCTGTTTTCCCCAAACTTCTTGGTTGTGTCATTTTTTTAATTTTTTTTTTTTTTTCAATTCCAGGGCAAACTTGATGCGCTGTGGGCTTTGGTTCGACGAGGCTATGATCAAGTGTCTCTTATGAGACCACAGCCAGGGGATAAGGTAAGGTGTCACAAACACACTGACATGTCACTTCTCTGTTAGCAGCCCCAATGCTCTTCCCTTCCAACAACCCCTTCTTTTTTTTTTTCTCCTTTTTTTTTTTTTTTGTGTTTATTAGCCTTTCTTGATACTCCATTAGCCAGTCTTGATGACTGGCTGAGTAGCAAAGCTAGACTTGCCTCTGACTTTTCTGGACAGACCTATAGAGTGGTACATGTGGACTCCTCCAGCTTTTGTCTCTGTGGCACAGCTCTCCTCACCTCTTTTTTCTCCTTTTTTTTTTTTTTGTGAGCTTGTCTCTTTTCACATTACCCTAAGGCTAAAAATTTGTCACAAGAACCAGAGATTTCAAAATGAGCTAAAATGTTTGCTGTGGCATCTATTTAAAAGTATTGCCCCAAAAGGTCAGCAGTAATGTCTCCGTTGTGATGATTTGAGCAGACTGAGGAATAAACTGGCCAGTCAAAGTAGTAAATGAGACCTTTTACAGCCCTGTAAGTTCTTAGCCTTGTTCCTGAGCACCTGTGTTGAAGTCAAAGGATAGGTTCTTTGTTTGTGGGTTCTGGGGGACTGCTGGTTTTGAATTTAAATATGCAGTAGTCATTCTACAACAGTAATTTATACTTCCTACCCAACTTCATAAAAATGCTTCTCAGATTTAATAATAGAGTTAGGTGATTAATGAGAGAAGCTATGAACTGTGCAGGTGATGAAGAAACAAATTACAGCAAAGTTAAAGGAGAATAAAGTTTCTCTAGAATTCTGTGCAAAGACACATTTCTCAAACTTGTCCTATATGTAGCAGAGAGTATCTCTTGTCTTGATAAAGTCTATGGGCCAAAGGTGGGTCAGGAGTAGATTCCTCCTGGGAGGAGGGAGGGAGTTTGAGCTGAAAGGCTCTGAAAAGAGCCACAGAGATGTTTGTGTGCTGCCCCTGCGATAGCTTAGTTCAGAGCTCTCTCCTGATTTCCCTGTGAGAGCCTGGCACCGTTACGGTTGTGTCTGTCTTGTTATTCCTGGGGGGACAACTCCATAAGAATTGGATCCTTTTGTACCTTCAGATTTGTTTTTTTGCAGTGGAGCTTTGTAACAGGAGGACCAAGCAGAGACACCATCTTTCTCTTCCCTGTGGCCCTTCTCTGGCCAGAATCCCTACATGTCATTGCCTTTGCCCTCAGGGAAAGGGGTTATAGAGTTACAGTAGTAGAGGCTGTAAAGTGCTTTTGTGTGGGTGTGAGTGGTGCAGAGGCCCTTGTGCTGGACTTATCTGCCTGGATGATTTTTACACCTAATAACAGCATTAAGCAGTCTTAATTCGCTTCATCTAGGGCAGATACACTACAGCCCTCCAACTTTTGGCAAAATACTGGTAGGGCATTTGTCTAGTTATTAACCAAACATACGCAGCTTCAGTATTTAAAGTTTAGTCTCTTCCCTTTTTCTTTTGGGGTGTAAGGAAACTAAGAGAACAGACTGAGTTTCCTATGCTACTTTGTAAAATGGATTTAACTGTTAACACTGAGCTGCATTTTCAAGGCAGCTGCGCTCGAGACACCTTATTTACTTTTTAAGCACGATCTAGAGCTTCTGAATAGGCTCTTTAGGCCCAGCTGTATTTTGATAGCGCTAACATTGTATAATACGAATCTATCCTCTGCCTTTCACTCCCTGGGCTGGTACATTTCTATCAGTGCAGAGCACAAGGGAGCCTCTGTTCTCCTGCGTGGTCAAGAAACATGCAGGGGGCTGGCTCCAAACAGGGATCCTCAGTTCCTCGCCTTCCAGCTCTGCTGTGGGGAGGACGAGGGACTCAAAAGAGGCAATGTAAAACCGAGCAAGCTGAAGGATTATTGTATCAGGGGGAATATTAGAAAAATCAAACGTACATCTGGGAAATAGGGTGGAAAGAATCCTATTGAGTCAGATTGGGTGAAAGAATAGGATCATCTCTGTTCCCTGGCCTGTGAAATTAACTAAAGCTGAAGAATATTGGAAGCGAAGCAAGAAAATGACTGGACATCTTTCTGCTGTGAAAAAAATAGAGGCTATCACAGGCCTGTATTTCAGGGCAAAAGCCCCACCACTGAAATTGGTAGTTTTTAGCTTGGCAAATACCTCAGCAAAGGGTCACAGGATGCTGCTCACTCAGCTTCTGCAGGTCACCCCTGGCAGGAGCCTCTTGCACCAGGATGAGACAGCAGGGGATAAACACACACTTAGCTCTACCCCATCATTAGCTGACAGGCTGCTATTAGTGGGATGGCTTTTTGCTGAGCTCTCCGAAGGCATCAGCAGAAGAGTGGAGAGTTGAAAAAGGGGCCAGCAGCTCTCCTGTAGGTATCTGGGCTTTCTTCCTTCAAGTAATGTACAATGGTGATGCCTTCATCAGTATTTGTGCTACTGATGCAGTGATGGATCCCTTAGAGCTAGGCTGCTTCCTTCCTCCACCAGAAATTTGGGGTTTTGAGGACCAGCAGTTGCTCCTCTGGCCCAATAAAGGGATTAACAACTCTGGGGTGGGGACGCTGCTCGTCCTGCAACAGGGGGTGTGCCAGAGCAACCACATGGGTTTGCAAGCTGTGTGTTGTTCAGGCTACTCAGGCTGCCTTGAGGACTTCCCCATCACCTCTGTGTTGGTGTCCTCCCGAGCTTAGTTATGACCTTGCAGGGGGCTGCTACAAAGACTGGAGTTTGGGAAATATTAATGTCTGGCTATCTTGAAGTATCTCCTAGAAACCACAGTAGCTGGTGGGGCAGGTTGTCAATAGTCTCTGCAAAAGGGAACTGTAAGGTTCTTCCCCTTGGCCCAACAGATCAGAAGTGGGGCTGTTACCAACTCCAGCAAGTCAGCATTAAAAGCCCCAATATGTGCAGAGAAGAAGGTGAGATGCTTCTTTCAAATGGTCTGCTTAGTTGCTGCTTTCAGCAAATCCATTCCATTTTGCATTTCAGCACATACTGCCACAGGAAATTCTCGGAGGCTTGGTTTACCCAAAACCTCAACTAAAAAAACCCTACATTTTTCCCCCCAGGCAGAGTTGCTCTTGTTTACTTTAAAGCTTTAGAAAGTGATCTCATTTTTGTCAGGGAAAAATTACCTGCAACAGAGAGAGTGAAAGTTTAGACTGGATTTTGCTATCATCGTCAGCCTTGTATACTCGTGGGACTTCACTTAGAAAAAAGTAATGTTTTAGCAGTAACTACCCTTTGCACGTGCAAAGCCTGGGGAAGGACACTAGAAGGCTGTTGTACAAGAACCTGAAAGCCTCTTTTTCCTTCTTCATTCCATAAAACTGAAAGTAAAAAGGCTGCTGTGCAGCCAAAAAATTTCACAAACTGTAAGCTGCTGGTCATATTTGAAGCCAGGACTTCTGGGTGCTTTCAGGTTCTCACCATTGAGGCGTTGTGTGACTTTGAACAAGGCATGGCAGCTGGAATTTTAAACACCAGCTTCTGAAATGAGAAGAATGGGAGTATTTGGGTTCCTTATTCTGTGTGTCCCTTTCAAAGTAATCACTCATAAACTGATAGGTTTGTTAAAGCTCAGGAAGTCAGATTACCCTTCAATTTTTGAGTGATCCCTTGTAATGCTGAGGATGACATCTGTGTACCTTACTTTTCCCAACTGCAAAATGATCATGAGAACACAGTATTTACCTTCCTTACAGCTGTGAGGTTTAGTTAAGGCTTCCCAGGCACTTGGGACTCCCCAAATGAATGGTGGGACATCAAGCCTATGGATCATTAATGAGTAGTAATTATTTTCTGGCTGCTGCCCGCGGGTGGTCAGCAGTTTGAATGCAGCCCACGGGGAGGGCAGTACCCGCCTGTCACTCCATGCTGCCTACGTAGCAGTGCTATTTAGAGCTCATACTAATTACTTCTTTTCAAGATTGAGTAATGGCCTTTAACAGGTTTACCTGCCACTTGCTTGGAGATGTGTTGTAATCGCCCGAGTAGTAATTGGCAGAGCTACAGGGGGTGCTGGAAAAGCAGCACGGGGCTCCTTCCCACTGTATGTATCAGAGACTGCTGCCTGGTTCTGGGACTTTTCTCCCTTTGCTTAACCTTTCTGGATCCAATTATCTTCATAAGCTGCTGAAAAATTAAAGAGATGGGGACTTTGCCTGCTGCAGTAGGTGATCTCACTTTGTCACTTTCAATGAAAATGTGACACCTGTAGCCTCGCTTTTACTCTTTTTTCCTTTTTGCAAAGGAGACCAGTATCTCTAGGGTTCATTCCTGCTGTAGCAGGCATGGCATGGAGAAAGGGTTCCCTGGTGTGGGACTAACATCCTGATGCACAGTTCCCAGGATGTTCCATCCCTGGAGGGGTTCAAGGCCAGGCTGGATGAAGCTTTGAGCACCCTGGTCTGGTGGGAGGTGTCCCTGCCCAGGGCAGGGGGGTTGGAACTGGATGATCTTTAAGGTCCCTTCCAACCCGAACCATTCTATGTGCTGAAACTGCAGCTGGAAACATAGAATTGATGACAAATGAATTTCCCATCCTGCAAGAAGCCCCCATAAATTGGTATTGCCTCTCACTTGTGCCAGGATCGTGTTATTTCTGACGTGGAAGTAGGCTTCACAAATGGGCCTTGGTTGCAAATCCTGCTTAGCACAGGCTGCACAACAGGATGAAGGATTGGCCTTGTTAAGACACTGAGCTGTCACTTTGGGGCCCCTGGCTGTAGCTGATATAGGTTGTTCTTCACTCCTGTTGTACTGAACTTCCACAGCGATAAATGAGATGAACAGTAAATTCTAGGAGGGTGAGACCATGGTCCTAACAGCGCTCTGACCGCTTCATAGATGGACTCTGTTAGGTAGACAGAGGGTTCTTCTGCTGTTCTTAAAGCATGTGTACCACTTCAGTATTTCTTTGGTATTTATAGTATGAAAAAGGTTCACCAGGTCTGATTCTCAGGGTTTTTTCATAGGGAATGTGACTTTGGGATAAGGACTGCTGTTTCTTGGCAGCATCCTGGATCAGTGCTGAA